GAAATAGGGTGAATACATCTCATTACACTGATTTACTGGTAGTCTCGAAACCCTACTCCAATACGAATACTCCTCTTATGTTGCTGAAACTTTGTTTTATGCTAAGCGAATATTAAAGTACTAATTTCTCTTACTGCAAAGAAAGGCTTCATTGAATAATACATATTCTCAGCACATTAATTATCTTATGACTTTATTGTTTGGAGCTTTTTTGATGCTATGTAAAATAATGATAGGTTTATTTATCTTTCTAGAAGTTGTTTGACCTTTTTTTCGAAACTTGATCATATGGGCAGGAATACTGAGAAGAACGAATCTAGTCCGGAGTTTATAGTATGCATGATAATTTCCAGAGCCAGACCATGGAAATAGTACCTTCCCAGACGTTTCGCCGGTAACGTGGTCGGCATCGTTCGTGAGCCTTGCCATTCTTAGCACCACACTAAAACTAGGCAAATTTTTATCTTTATAAAGATGTTTCATTAACAATAGTCTCGTGAAATTAAAGCATCAATTACTTTGATGAAAAACAAATTTATGCAATTTAAAATAGATCTCCTTATGAAAGTGTGAGAATAACTGTACGATAATTAAGAAGGTTTCTGTACGTAAGAAAATTTGATCTGGCGAATTATTATAAGAGAATTGCCGTAAATTTTTATCAGCCATCTCCGATTTTTTTATTTTGCCGAACTCGCTAATGCTTTATTACTCTTTCCCGAAACTAACAAGTAAAATTGAATTGTTTGAGGATTTCCATAAATTTAGAAAAACTCTTGCAATTTAATCGAATAAAAATAAACCCTATAAAATTTCTCATGCAGATGAATTTGAGTAGATTAAGTGGTGCCCCGCCAATATTACCTATATTGTCTGGTAAAAAATTATAGATGAATTTGAGTCTGAGTATGTCCTCGATTTTAAAGAGTTAAGTATCAAATTTCTATCTTTGTTTTCTTTCCAGATGGGACGATGAAGAAGAGGATGTGGTCGAAGCGACAGTGGCAGAAGTAGCTTCACCAATCCAGGAAGACCTGCTTGGCCCTGTAGGTGGTAAGCACCTAAATAGAACGGCAAATGGGCAAGTGTGCCATGCTGGCTTTACTGCCTGGCCTCAGTTAATGGATGGTGAAGATGGCAAGCGTCTGCGAGGCGAGTTGAATGGTCGGAGTGGGATTCTTATGAGGCCAGCAGAATATGAGTCTGATGCTAACGTAGAAGAAGGGGAAGATGTAGAACAAAACGAACCGGAACACACCAGACCAGCAACTGCAGCAGGCCTTTTGAATTGTACATCAGGATCTGGCCAAATACCAGAGACTGACCTTCGGAGATCCATTTTTGATAGTAAATTGACGAGTAAACAACAGCTGAGCTTGCCTCCAGGTACAGTGCGGGTTCCATCCATGTTGCTAAAGCTTAAAGTTAAACCTTGGACACCACCCGCGCAGAATCAACGAGCTGGTTCAGCCAAGGAGGAGTAAGTGTTCGATCTGATGAGATTATTTATGTACTTGTAAGCCACTATTATTGGTCAGTCTATTTTCTGTTTATAGGGGCTTAAGAGAAACTCTTAGCCAATAGATACTTGTTAATTAGGCTCTAGAATTATACGAAAGTTGAGTCAATGATCATAGTTTATAAATTTTTATTCTTTTCACAAACTTTGGACTTAACAAGCACATGGCTCAATTAATGGTATGCATGTTTTCCATGTAAATCCAGCAGCAATGTATGGGCTTTGATGCAATTGATCTGATGGATTTTAAACTATAGTCATCAAATCGTTAACAAATCTTTTTATTTATTAATGTGGAACTTAGCAAGAGTTTTTGTCAACATGTGTAATGACAAAATTTTAGACATTCCTTATGTCTTCATGAACAACTTAGGGCAACAAACTGTTACCTTTTATCTCCTGGAGCTGAATACAAAACCTTTAAATCAAATTGAGTATACTTGCTAGATAGGATGATCTTGCAAAATTGACTGGAGTCTTTCATTTGCCCACGCTATTTTTGTTCGTTATTCAGGA